CAGAGACTCGCCCATACAGTCTCCCACAGTGGCTACCCAGCTTACATCCTCACCAGCAGCCACAGGAGAGTTCCCTTTCTTCACACGCTGCCCAGCATTTTTTCCCTGTTGACTCTTTAATGATGACCGTTCTGACTAGTGGGTGCTGGTACCTTATTGTAGTTTTGACTTGCCTTTCTCTAATAATTAGTGATGTTGAGCATCTTTTTAAGAACCTGCTGGTCATCTGTATTTCTTCTTTGAAGAAATGTCTGTTCAGGTCTTCTGCCCGTTTTTCTTTTTTCCTCCTTAATACTTATTTATCTGGCTGCACTGGGTCTTAGTTGTGGTAGACAGGACCTTCCATCTTTGTTCTGGCATGAGGGATCTTTCAGTTGTGGCATGAACGCTTGATTGCAGCATGTGGGACCTAGTTCCCTGACTAGGGATCGAACCCAGGTTCCCTGAATTGGGAGCACAGCCTGCAACTGAACCAGGGAAGTCTCCTCCTTTCCATTTTTCAGTTGGGTTGTTTTGCTTTTTTTGTTATTCTGTGAGCTGTTTGGATATTTTGGAAATTAAGCCCTTCTTGGTTGCATTGTTTGCAAATATTTCCTCCCATTCCATAGGTTATTTTGATCTTTGTTTTCCTTATGGTTTCCTTTGCTATGCAAAAGCTTGTGAGTTTGATTAAGTCCTATTTGTTTTTGTTTCTGTTGCCTTGGGAGACTGATCTAAGAAAACATTGGTACAGTTTGTCAGAAAATGTTTTTCCTGTGATCTCTTCTAGGAGTTTTATAGTGTTATGTCTTATGTTTAAGTCTATAAGCCATTTTGAGTTTATTTTTGTGTAAAAAATATAGAACACTTCATGAACTTGTGTGTCATGCTTGTTGTTGTTCAGTCACTCAGTCATGTCTGAATCTTTGTGACCCCAGGGATAGCAGCATGCCAGGCTTCCCTGTCTTTCACTGTCTCCTGGGGTTTGCTTAAACTCATGTCCACTGACTCGGTGATGCCATCCCACCATCTCATCCTCTGCCCTCAATCTTTCCCAGCATCAGGGTGTTTTCCAATGAGTTGGCTCTTTGTATCAGGTGACTGAAGTATTGGTACTTCAGCTTCAGCATCAGTCCTTCCAATGAATATTCAGGATTGATTTCCTTTAGGATTGGCTGGTTTGATCTCCTGATTGTCCAAGGGACTCTCAAGAGTCTTCTCCAGCACCACAATTCAAAAGCATCAATTCCTCAGCACTCAGCCGTCTTTATGCTCCAACTCTCACATCCATACATGACTACTGGAAAAACCACAGCCTTGACTGTATAGACCTTTGTCGGCAAAGTGATGTCTCTGCTTTTTATTACCCTGTCTAGGTTTGTCATAGTTTTTCTTCCAAGAAGCAAGTGTCTTTTAATTTCGTGGCTGCAGGCACCATCTGCAGTGATTTTGGAGCCCCCAAAAATAAAGTCAGCCACTGTTTCCACTCCCATCTATTTGCCATGAAGTGATGGGACTGGATGCCATGATCTTAGTTTTCTGAATGTTGAGTTTTAAGCCATATTTTTCACTCTCCTCTTTTACCTTCACCAAGAGGCTCTTTAGGTTCCTGTTAGCTTTCTGGAATTAGGGTGGTGTCATCTGCATATCTGAGGTTATTGATATTTCTCCCAGCAATCTTGATTCCAGCTTGTGCTTCATCCAGTCTGGCATTTCACATGATGTACTCTGAATAGAAGTTAAATAAGCAGGGTGACAATATACAGCCTTGATGTACTCCTTTCCCAATTTGGAACCAGTCCATCGTTCCATGTCAGGCTCTAACTATTGCTTCTTGACCTGCATACAAGTTTCTCAAGAGGCAGATAAGGTGGTCTGGTATTCCCATCTCTTGAAGAATTTCCCACAGTTTGTTGTGATCCACACAGTCAAAGGCTTTAACATGGTCAGTGAAGCAGATGTTTTTCTGGAATTCCCTTGCTTTTTCTGTGATCCAACATATGTTGGCAAATTGATCTCTGGTTCCTCTGCCTTTTCTAAATCCAGCTTGTACATCTGAAAGTTCTCAGTTCACATACTGTTGAAGCCTAGCTTGAAGGATTTTCAGCATTCCCTTGTTAGCAAGTGAAATGAGCACAATTGTGTAGTAATTTGAACATTCTTTGGCATTGCCCTTCTTTGGGACTGGAATGAAAACTGACCTTTTCCAGTCCTGTGGCCACTGCTGAGTTTTCCAAATTTGCTGGCATATTGAGTGCAGCACTTTAACATCCTCATCTTTTAGGATTTGAAATAGCTCAGCTGGAATTCCATCACCTTCTCTAGCTTTGTTCACAGTAACACTTCCTAAGGCCTACTTGACTTTGGACTCCAGAATGTCTGGCTTTAGGTGAGTGATCACACTATCATGGTTATCTGGGTCATTAAGACCTTTCTTGTACTGTTCTTTCATGTATTCTTGCCACCTCTTCTTAATCTCTTCTGCTTCTTTTCAGTTGCTCAGTCATGTCTAATTCTTTGCGACCCCATGGACTGCAGCACGCCAGGCTTCCCTGTCCGTCACCAACTCCCGAAGCTTGCTCAAACTCATGTCCATCAAGTCAGTGATGCCATCCAACCATCTCATCCTCTGTCCTCCCCTTCTCCTACCTTCAATCTTTCCCAGAATCAGGGTCTTTTCTAAGAAGACAGTTCTTCACGTCAGGTGGCCAAAATATTGGAGCTTCAGCATCAGTCCTTCCAATGAATATTCAGGACAGATTTCCTTTAGGCTTGACTGGTTTGATCTCTTTGTTGCCCAAGGGACTCTCAAGAGTCTTCTCCAACACCACAGTTCAAAAGCATCAGTTCTTCAGCACTCAGCTTTCTTCATGGTCCAGCTCTCACAAACCATAGCTTATGGATCTTTGTTGGTAAAGTGATGTCTCTGCTTTTTTCGGTTAGGTCCATAGTGTTTCTGTCCTTTATTGTGCCCATCTTTGCATGAAATATTTCCTCGGTATCTCTAATATTCTTGAAGCAATTTCTAGTCTTTCCCATTCTATTGTTTTCCTCTATTTCTTTGTTTTGCATTGTTCACTGAAGAAGGCTTTCATATCTCTCCTTGCTGTTCTTTAGAACTCTACATTCAGTTGGGTATATCTTTCCCTTTCTCCTTTGTTTTTTGCTTCTCTTCTTTTCTCAGCTATTCGTAAGGCCTCCTCAGACAACCTTTTTGACTTCTTGTATTTTTCTTGGGAATGGTTTTGATCACCACCTTCTTTACAGTATTATGAACCTCTGTCCATAGTTCTTCCAGTACTCTATCAGATCTAATCCCTTGAATCTATTTGTCACTTCCACTGTATAATCATAAAGGATTTGGTTTGCTTGCTGAGGGGCCATGCTAATCATATGTATATCGTTCCAATTTTAGTATATGTGCTGCTGAAGCAGTCAGGTAGGCATGATTATCCCAAGTTAGTAGAACATAAAGTTGATATTCCGAGAGCTTTGATGACACGTCCAAGGTCCCACAACCACAATTTAAATACAAATTTGACTTCAAAATATGCTATTTCCTCTTGACACTATGCTGACTTGTGGTCATTTACTCAACTGAGTTACTTTGCTTTCTTTCTTTGGCTCTTTTTTTTTTTTTAAAGGTAAGGGGTAGGGAGTTTGGGTGGGCTTCCTTGGTAGCTCAGCTGGTAAAGAACCTACCTGCAATGCGGGAGACCTGGGTTCGATCTCTGGGTTGGAAAGATCCCCTGGAGGAGGAAAGATCCCCTGGAGTGATACTCACTCCAGTATTCTTGTCTGGAGAATCCCCATGGACAGAGGAGCTTGGCGGGTGACAGTCCATGGAGTTGCAAAGAGTCAGACACAACTGAATGACTAGCCACAGCACAGGGAGTTTGGGCATATAGGAAGATTTTTTTTTTTTTTAGTAAAAATGATCTTGATGTTTTATAAACATGAATGCATCTTAATCTTCCTAGAAGGCAAGTTAGCTAGATAAATTTCGGAGTTTAAATACATACACACAAACACACATACCCTCTTGTACAGTTTATAAATGATTCTAGGGACTCTACTGATTGAAAGATTATGGTGCCCTAACTTGAACAGTCCAGAACCTGGTTCTGTTCTTTACCCTTCTACACGGTCATAAATGACACACAATGACAGCATCAGTAGAACAAAATATATGGCATTTATTAAACATATGTGACATAGGTTATAATATCAAAGTAGAGCATGCATGAACAAATTATCCATTCTTTTAACAAAAACACTAATTGATACTGAAAATATTAAGTGATTAAATTTCTACAACATCCAAAATTCTCTTTCATTTAAAGTGAGAAAGAAAAAGTAAATCACAGGTTGAAGAAATACAGTGATTTCAGCTGGCCCCATAAAGGCATAAGGCACAAATTAGACCAAGGGATTAGCACATCAGAATGAAGCGTGTCTGCCCTCACAAGGACTGGCTCCAGCCGAAGCTCCCACACCCCTGCACGGGTCCTCGGCACCTGCCCCTTCCTTCCTGGGGTCACATTTCCCCAGGTGCCCATGCTCCTACAGACAGGCTTCCCTGTAGCAGAGAAACACTGCCTCTAATACTTTTACGGGTAAGTAAAACCTTCATGCTGTAACAAATGATCCTGGCATGAATAGCATGAAATTTCAAGTTAATACCCTTTTTCCTCCCAACCGAAGTCTAGTAAAACAGAAAACAGAGACTTCTCCTGCCAGCACTCAAGTGTCTACATGGAAAGCTAACCCCAGCCCAGGACAGCAGGGTACACACATACACCGGTTGGGTGTTTGAAAAACGACCTTGAAACCTCTCTCTCCTGCCCTCCCCCCTCCAACTCCACTTTGCCTCATGTTTTAGAAGTGGAGCAAAACCTCAGCAATTTCCACTGGGACTTAAAACAGTGTACAGGAGGAAGCAACAGTCACCCTTTCCAGACTTCAGGCTGCAGGGTTCCAGGGCCTTTGTCCATCAGTGAAAAGTGCACGTCTCCAGGTGCTTAGGTCAGCGTTTTCTTCGTGGTCAACTCTAGGACTCGTGTGTATGGGGTATAGTTCCTGGAAGGCATTGCAATCTCACGAGTCCTACCTGTTTGGCTGAGAAATGAAAAAAGGCAAATCAGGAATATGAAACAAAACTCACCATATGCTTCATGTGATAAGATAACTCTAGGAAATCCTTTTTCAGCACTTAAAAATAGACTGCAGTAATATAGTTGAGTATTTCATTTAAATATTATGAGAGGGACCATGATTTTTAGTTAACTTTTAAAAAATTGATTTATTTAGAGGATAATTGCTTTACAGTATTGTCTGGTTTCTGCCATACATCAACATGAATCAGAATTCATGAATATCCCCTCCCTCGCGAACCTCCCACTCCTTTAGGTTGTCACAGAGCACCAGGTTTAGCTCCCTGTATTACATAGCAAGTTCTCATTGTTGCTCAGTCGCTAAGTCGTGTCCGACTCTTTGTGACCCCATATGGACTGCGTGCCAGACTTCCTTGTCCTTCACTCTCTCCCGGAGTCTGCTCAATGGAATCATGTCCATTGAGTCAGTGATGCTATCCAACCATCTTGTCGCCTGTCACCCACTTCTCCTCCTGCCCTCAACCTTTCCCAGTATCAAGATCTTTTCCAGTGAGTTGGTGCTTTGCATCAGGCAACTAAAGTATTGGAGCTTCAGCATCAGTCCTTCCAATGAATATTCAGGGGTGATTACCTTTAGGCCTGACTGGGTTGATCTCTTTGCTGTCCAAGGCACTTTCAAAAGTCCTCTGTCCATGGGATTCTTCAGGCATGCATAGTAGAGCAGGTAGCTATTCCCTTCTCCAGGGGATTTTCCTGTCCCAGGGATCAAACTGGTTTCCTGCATTGCAGGCAGATTCTTTACCATCTGAGCTACTAAGGAAGCCCTCAACTTTCCATCAGCTATCTAGTTTACATATGGTAATGTATATATTTCCATGCTGCTCTCAAGTATTGGAACTTCAGCTTCAGCATCAGTTCTTCCAATGAATAGTCAGGGTTGATTTCCTTTACGATTGACTGGTTTGATCTCCTTGCTGCCCAAGGAACTCTCAAGAGTCTTCTCCAGCACCACAGTTCAAAAGAATCAATTCTTTGGTGTCAGCCTTTTTTATTGTTACACATGCACGTATATTCATTTTCTGATTCTTTTCTCATATAGGTTATCACAGAATATTGAGCAGAGTTCCCTGTGTTATATAGTAGGTCCTTGTTGGTTATCTTTGTTATGTATAATAGAGTGTATATGCTAATCCCAAGCTCCTGATTTAACCACCCCCCACATTTCCCCTTCAGTAACCGTAAGTTTGTTATTTTATCTCCAAGTCTGTTTCTGTTCTGTAAATATTAGATTCACATATGAGTGGTATCATATGATATTTGTCTTTGTATGACTTATTTCACTCAGTGTAATAATTTCTAAGTTCATCCATGTTGCTGCAAATGACATTATTTCATTGTCATGGCTGAGTAGTATTCCACTGTATAAATGTACCACATTGTTATCGATTCCTTGGTTGATAGACATTTAAGTTGCTTTTATGTCTTGGTCGTTGTATATAGTGCTGTAATGAACATTGGGGTGCATGTTTTTTTTTGGAATTATGATTTTCTTTGGATATATGCCAAGGAGTACAATTGCTAAATCATATAGTCATTCTAGTTTTCGTTTTTTTCAAGGAACCTCCATACTGTTTTCAATAGTGGTTGTACCAATTTACATTCCCACCAACAGTGTAGGAAGGTTCCTTTTCTCTACTCTCTCTCCAGCATTTACTGTCTATAGTCTTTTTGATGAGGCCATTCTGACTTAGTTGAGGTGATCCCTCACTGTAATTTTATGTTTCTCTGATAATTATTGATGTTGAGCATCTTTTCATGTGCTTTTTGGCCATCAGTATGTCTTCTTTGGAGAAATGGCTATTTAAAGTCTCTGCCTATATTTTGGTTGTTTTTTCTTTTTTTTATCTGACATAGAGCTGTGTGAGCTGTTTGTATATTTTGTAGATGAATCCCTTGTCTGTTGCTTCATTTGAAAATATTTTATCTCATTTTGTGGATTGTCTTTTTGTTGTTTATGATTTCCTTTGCTGTGCAGAAGCTTTTTAAGTTTAGCGAGGTATTTGTTTGTTTTTATTTTAATTTAATTTAATTTAATTTTTATTGACGTATAGTTGATTTACAGTGTGTGCCAATCTCTGCAGTACAGCAAAGTGGACTCAGTTATGTAGACATTCTCTTTCATATTCTTTTCCATTATGGTTTATTATAGGATATTGAATATAGTTTCCTGTGTTATACAGGACCCTGTTGTTTATCCATCCTCTGTGTAATAGTTTATGTCTGCTAATCCCAAATTCCCAGTCCTTCCCTTCCCCTTGGCAACGACAAATCTGTTCTCTATGGTCTATGAGCCTGTTTCTGTTTCATAAATAAGTTCATGTGTCATATTTTGGATTCTACATGTAAGTGATATCATGTGGTGTTTGTCTTTCTCTTTCTGACTGACTTTAGTTAGTATGCTAATCTCTAGTTGCATCCACAGTGCTGCAAATGGCATTATTTCATCCCTTTTATGGCTGAGTACTATTCATTGTATGTATACATGTACTGTGTCTTCTTTATCCATTCATCTGTTGATGGACATTTAGGTTATTCCCATGTTTTGGCTATTGTGAATAGTGCTGCTATGAACATAGCGGGGTATGTGTCTTTTTGGGATTAGAGTTTTGTCTAGCTATATGCCTGGGAGTGGGACTGCTGAATCATATGGTAATTCTATTTTTAGTTTTCTGAGGAACTTCCACAGTTTTCCATAGTGGCTACACTAACATACATTCCCACCAACAATATAGGAGGCCTCTCTTTCCCCACATTCTCTCCAGAATTTGTTGTTTGTTGGCTTTTCTTCCATTATTCAAGTGTATCTTTTTTTAAAACAATTTTTAATTGGAGGGTAATTGCTTTAAGTGCTTCCCCAGGGGCTCAGCTTTGCAATGTTGCATTAATTTCTGCAGTACAACAACATGAGTCAGCCATAAGTATACATATAGCCCCTCCCTATTGAGCCTCCCTCCCATCGCCCACCATCCCACCCCTCTAGGTCATCACAGGGCACCAAGCTGAGCTTCCTATTTTTTTAAATTTATTTTTTAATTGGAGGAAAATTGCTTTACAATGTTGTGCTGGTTTCTGCTGAACAACAGCACAAATCAGCCATAATTATACATATGTATCACCTCCCTCTTGAGCCTCCCTCCCCTTTAGTCATCACAGAGCACCAAGCTGGGCTCCCTGTGTTACACAGCAGCTTCTCACCAGCTGTTTGTTTTACACGTTAGTATATACATGTTCACCCCACTCCAGTCCTCTTGCCTGGAAAGTCCCATGGACGGAGAAGCCTGGTGGGCTGCAGTCCATAGGGTCGCTAGGAGTTGGACACGACTGAGCGACTTCACTTTCACTTTTCACTTACATGCATTGGAGGAGGAAATGGCAACCCACTCTAGTTTTCTTGCCTAGAGAATCCCAGGGACTGGGGGAGCCTGATGGGCTGCCGTCTATGGGGTCACACAGAGTCGGACACGACTGAAGCGACTTAGCAGCAGCAGCAGCAGCATATGTATGTTAGTGCTACTTTCTCCATTCATCCCACTCTTTCCTTATGCCACTGTGTCCACAAGTCTGTTCTGTATGTCTGCGTCTCCATTCCTCCCTGAAAATAGGTTCATTAACACCATTTTTCTAGATTCCATATATGTGCGTTAATATATGGTATTTTTCTCTTTCTGAGTTAATTCACTCTGCATAACGATTCTAGGTTCATCCATCTCACTAGAACTGACTCAAATTCATTCTTTTTACAGCTGAGTAATATTCTGTTGTATATATGTACCACATCTTTATCCATTTATCTGTCAGCAGACATCTAGGTTGCTCCCATGTCTTAGCTGTTGTAAATAGTGCTACTGTGAATGAACATTAGGGTACATGCATCTTTTTGAATTATGGTTTTCTCAGGGTATATGCCCAGTAGTGGGATTGCTGGGTCATATGGTAGTTTTATTCCTGTTTTTTTGTTTGTTTGTTTGTTTTGTTTTTTTTAAGGAATCTCATATTGTTCTCCATAGTGCCTGTTATCAATTTACATTCCCACCAACAGTGCAAGAGGGTTCCTTTTTCTCCACATCCTCTCCAGCATTTATTGTTTGTAGATGAGGTCCCTGTTTGATACATCGACTTCCCACTAGCTCTCTTATCTTACACATGATAATAATATATATATTTCAGTGCTGTCAGTTCATTCCACCCTCTCCTTCTCCTCCTTCCCCTTGTATCCACATCTGTCTCTATTCCTGCCCTGCAAATAGGTTCATCAGTACCATTTTTCTAGATTCTATATGAATGCTTTAATATACAATATTTTTATTTCATTTTTTAATTGGAGGATAATTGCTTTATAATGTTGTGTTGGTTTATGACATATAGCAACATGAATCAGCCATAATTATATACATGTCCCCTCGCTTGTGACCCTCCCTTCCTGCTCCCACCCCACCCCTCTGGGTCATCACAAAGCACCAAGCTGGGCTCCCCGTGTTATACAGCAACTTCCCACCAGCTCTCTGTTTTACACGTGATAGTGTATATATGCCAGTGCTACTTTCTCAATTCATCCTTCCCTCTCCTTCCCTCGCTGTGTCCACAAGTCTGTTCTCTACGTCTGTATGTCCCTTCCTTCCCTGCAAATGGGTTCATCAGCACTATTTTTCTAAATTCCATATATATGCATTAATATTCAATACTTGTTTTTCTCTTTCTGACTTAACTTCCCTCTGTATAATAGGCTCTAGGTTTATCCACCTCATTAGAACTGACTCATATTCGTTCCTGTTTATAGCTGAATAATATACCATTGTGGATATGTACCACAACTTCCTTATCCATTCATCTGTCGATGGATGTCTAGGTTGCTTCCATGTCCTGACTGTTGTAAATAGTGCTGCAGTGAACATGGGTACATGTGTCTTTTTCAGTTATGGTTGGAATTTCTGGGTCATGTGGTAA